GAAAGAGTTCTAGAATAAAAATTGAAATGTCATGCTTGCCTGGGACAGGCTTCACCAGAAGTTGGCTCTGCTAATTAAACCACAAACCTACTGCCTTTGAGAGTCTACTACAACTCATTGTAACCTTATATAGCATTTCTGAGACTACAAGTCTATGCGAAAAGAGCCTCCTCTTCCTTTCGAGAAGAGTTGGGTGACTTTGAACTGCCAACCTTGCCACAAGCAACCCAAGACCTAACCCAGGGCTCCTGCAAGTCTTCTTAGGGCTACACTAGTCCCCTTGTGCTGATTCACTCACTCAAACTCTGCCATGGAATCTGTTCTGACTCACGAGGACCCTAATGGACAGGGTAGCACTGCCTCTCTGGGTTTCCGAGACTAACTTTTTTTGACAGGGTAGAACTGCCCTTGTGGGTTTCTGAGACTGTCATTGTCATAAAGGGTTACAGTCTCGGAAACCCATAGAGGCAGTCTACCTTGTCCTATAGGGTCGCTATCGCAGAGAGCTTGGTTTTCTGAGCTTAACTCTTTATGGGAGTAGACCACCTCATTTTTCTCCCACGGTTTGGCTGATGTTTTCAAACTTCTCACCTTGGGGTTAGCAGAAGTAAGCGCTGTACCACCAGAACTGATTAAAGGGGGCTATATAAGGTTATTGGCTGGCTCACAGGAATTGCTGGAGGGCTGGAACACCAGGCTCCAGGCTAAGCTGCTGATGACAGGCCCATACCCCAACCTGGTTCTCTTCTGCTGCTGTGACTGAATGGAGCTCCACTTCCACATTGTGACCGCCACCTCCAGCCAGTGCTAGAGAGGAGGGTAAGAAAGAACACACTCTCCTTACTTAGGGCTAGTGTCCTGGCTCCTGAGACTGAGACTGCCTGGTTATAAAGGAGGACGGGCTGTGAGCTCCGGTGTCTCCCCAGAGGATGTGGAGGATCTCCCAGCACAGGAAGCCTGTGTGGGCAGCCACAGCAGGACAGGTGCCCGCGTGAGCAGTACATTTCAAAGTTTGCCATTTATAACCCTTGCATTCAGTGGACTGAGGCCCTGTTGTCCCGTGTCTTTGTTTTAATGAAACAGAAGGCTTGGTGGACCACTCTCGGGAAGGTGAACTTCTGTCCTGAGGCACCTTTGTTTCCGTTGTGTGGCATCGGCATGGGACTGCCATGTGAAAAGGCTTTTGTTACCATGGGTCATGAGCAAAAGCCTCTGCACTAGCCTGTTGAGTGCTCAGAGACCATGTTTGCAGAACACACAGCCTTTCTCTCCTCTGCCTGTCGCAGACAAAGATGTGCACGCCCGGGCACAGGGCTGGGCTTTCCAGATCCCGGGTCTGCTGCATCACTGGGCCATTCCACTTGCAATAAAGCCGATCCTGGAACTGACTCTGATCACATTGTGTCTGTGGGAAATTCTGTACTTAGTTTTGAAGGAAAAACTTAAAAACAACCCAAAGCCTCTATATTGTAAAGTGCTACCTCTCATGATTGTAGTGATGCTAGTTACAGTGTTGATGAAGCACTTCCATCTAGACTCGGTCTTGACCTCAAAGTGTTTTTATGTTAAAAAACCCAAAGTGTCATGTTGGAGCCCGGCTGAGTGCCTTTGTGGAGCTCTGCTGTGCTTCCTTGACTTCTGGTCCTCCCTTCTAACCCCACAATGTTCTCTCTCTGCAGGTCCGTTCACCCGCCCTCACCCAGCGTTATGGAGAATGGTTTTTGGTGAGTTTCCAGTAGTATATTTTAGTGTATGTGTGTGTGTGTACCATCTTTTTTTTACAGAGGAGTATTTAAGTTTTAGTTCAAATGCATTGATTTTTTTGGTCAATCTTCCTTAATTCAATGTCCAACTAGTCATTGAAAATACCGTGGCTTGGGTCAGATGCAGCTTAGTCCTCAAAGTAACATCCTTGCTCTTCAACACTCTGAAGAGTCTCGTGTGGCAGATTCACCTAATGCAATACAATTGCCTCTTGATCTCTTGACTGCTGCACCAGAGCATAGATTGCAGATCCAAGCAAGATGAAATCCTTGACAGTTCTGGTCTTTTCTCTGTTTATCATGACGTTACCTATTGGTCCAATTATGAGGGTTTGGGTTTTCTTTACATTGAGTTGTAATCCACACGGAAGTCTGCAATCCTTGATCGTCATCAGAAAGTGCTTCAAGTCCTCTTCACTCTCAGCCAGCAAGGTGTGTCATCTGCATTTCACAAGTTGTTAATAAGCTCTCCTCCAATCCTCATGCTGCATTCTCCTTCATATAATTAATTTCTCTGGTTGTTTGCTCAGCATACACATTGAGTAAGTATGCATTTGAGCTATGGTGCTCGTGAAGAATATTAAAAGTCCCATGGTCTGCCAAAAGAATAAACAGTTCTACCTTGGAGGAAGTACAGCCAGAATGTTCCTTAGAGGCAAAGCTAAGGGAACTTTGCCTTAGGTACTTTGGGCATGTTACCAAGAGAGTCCAGTTCCTGGAGAAGGACATCATGCTTGATAAGGCGTAGGGGAAGTAAAGAAGAGCCGATGGCCTTGGACAAGATGGATTGACCAGGTGGCTGCAGCAATGGGCCACAACGTAACAACAATGGTGAGGCTGGCCTAGGGCCGGGCGGTGTTTCTTCTGTTGCGCATAAGATCGCCATCACTGGAGGGTGCCTAACAACAGCATAGCAGTTTTCTTTACCATTCGACAGCTAAAACTTCGTCGCTGTTTATTTTTGGGGTTCCTAATAGAAATTTGTCACTGCAATTATTACCCAGATGATGAAGCGCTAGTGATGACTTGTGACTTATACTTCTCTTACATGTGAGCACCGGACGCCACACACTCACACACACATGCACGCCTCTTCCTATGCCCTTCCTTGCAGACTCCATGCCAGTATCTTTAATATCACAGATGTGGAATAGTGTAAAGATATCTTCGTACTATGCTTTTATGCAAGGCATTCATTGAACTCCTTTTCAGAATTGGTGTTCCTTGTGACATCGTGGGTAACATCTGGGACTGCCAACCACAGGGGCAGCAGTTCACACCCATCGTGTGCTCCACAGGACAAAGCTGAGACTGTCCGTTTCCATGAGGTTTACAGCCAGAGACCCAAAGGGTCAGTTCTGCTTTGTCCTACAGGATTGCTATGAGTCATAATCAACTCCGTGTCGGCTAGGTGGGGATTAGGCATTAAACTGCTGACTGCAAAATCAGCGGTTCGGAACCCTGGTCACCAGCCACGCTGAGGGCGAAGGAGGCGACTGTCTGGTCCTGTAGCCTGGTGGCTTAGTGGTTACAATTTGGACCACAAAATTAGCAGTTTGAAACCACCTGCCACTCTATGGGAGAAAGACAAGGCTTTCTACTCCCATGAAGAGTTACAGTCTCAGACTCTCACCAAGGCAGTTCTACCCTGTCCTATAGGGTTCCCTTAAGCCAGAATTGACTCAATGGCAGTGCGTTGGTTTGTTTTGGTCTGGTCTAGTAAAGGTAGAAATGTCTGGAACGAGGGTGCCATCGTGGCCACGAAGGAGAAGAACGCAGTGGGCCAACAGGCATTTTGGGGGTTCAGGCTCAGATGGTGACCACAGACTTCCAGAAGATCTTTCCCATGAGAGACCATCTGTACACCAGCCTGGCAGGGCTTGCCATGGACAGCCAGATCGGTGCCCAGTTGATTGTCAGCTCAGTCCTTACACTCATGAGCCCGGCAACCAACCTCCTGGATGAGACACCGGTTTGCCCTGTCCGACACTGAGACTTCCATTGTACTACGTTGGACCCAAAGACCTTGTAAGAGCCATTCATTTGCTCTCTGGACCTCATCCGTTGCCCCATGGTGACTGACAACTTCATGGTCAGTGGCACCTGCACACGTAGATGTGACAGCCCTTCTGGGAGCCCAACATGGATCTAGAACACTTAATTCAAATCATCTCCCAAGCCATGCCGGTCACTGTGGACGAGGGTGGGAGTCATTGTCTCAACAGTACATTGCAATAATAAAATCTGGTTTTGGGCAGAATGTGGCTGGGGAGTTGGTGCTGCCAGAGCCACTGTGTTGTTCTCCATCGTGGCCATGACGGCACCCTCTGCTTAGTCAGCACATCTGTGTGCGTCGCTTCCTTGACCTATCTGCCCAGAGACCTGTCCACCCTTCCCTGCCCACCCACACACCCTTTGCCAGCTGGTCCGCTGAGTCAGCTCTGAAGCATCGTTTCTTAGACTGTTACTGACTGCACTACCACCACAATCTGAGTTAGCACTGCTTATCAGACTCCCTCATTAAAGAAAATATCGGCTTGTAAGAGCCGTCTCATCAGAGTACATTGTAAGAGTGCAATCTATTTTAGCCACGTGGATGGTGTATCTGATCTCTCCTGAACTTACTACGTCTGTCTTTGCTTCCCTCAGGACTCAGTGTGCTCTACTTCCTGTTCCTGGTCTTTCTCCTCTTCCTGAATTTTGAGCAGGTGAAATCCATAATGTATTGGCTAGATCCAAACCTTCGCTATGCCACCAGGGAAGCAGATATCATGGTAGGTACTTACCGACAGTCTCGTCAGAAAGTGGTAGCTTCTTGGGTGTAGGGAGTAGTTAGCTGTACATTTCAAGCTGTCCCTTCTCCAGATCTCCAGTATCTAAAACACAGATTACTGAGCCAGCCCCTGAGGTGCATGGTTTTCCACATGAGGTACAGTCCAGGGAAAAGGAACCTTTTCTTACAGCAGAGAGTTCTGTGAGGAGGAGTGTAAACATCATCACCCCACAGGGCTTGAATGCTGCCTCTCACTTGCTAGCTCTAGGACTTCAGACAAAGTCCTTATTAGCCTGTCTCCTCTCTGTCAGGTAGCGTCCCTGGGCAGTGCAAGTAATAAACACAGTCCTGTTAACCGAAAGGTGGATAATTCAAGATCACCCAAGTGTCTAAGAAGGAAAAACTCAAATGTTCTGTTTCTCTTGAAAAATCCTGTGGCACACACTTCTGCTCTGACCACGTGGGAGGGCCCTGAGTTGGAATCCGTCACGTTGGAAACAGTGTGGCAGTTGTTTTTAAAAACCAGTTTTAGAGGCAGTTGTGCCATCTCTGGGTGCCTGCCAGCTGTTACCAGGGCGCTGCTCCGCACCCCTCCATCACCCGATGCCAGGACCCTCCCACCTGCCTGCTCTTCTTTATTTCTTTTTAATGAAACCTTGAGCAATTTTCATGCCTGGCTTAAACAACTCCATTGTTTTTTTGGCTTTTAGTCAGACTGTTTTATTTTTTTCATGCTGATCCTTTCCAATTTTTTTTAATGTCTACCATTGATAGAGGCTGAAGACAGACTTGGCACTGATGCTCAGGAAAGGAGCAGGCACACAGGGCCACCGGCAGGTGTGTTTTAATGGGCAGGAAGTCACATGAAGGCCCTTGATGTTGGACCTTTTTTGGAATGGTGCTTTTAGACTTTAGCTTTTATACAGGAGATGCCAAAAGGCAAAATGAAGAATGGCTACAGGTTAAGACTTTTAGTTTTGAGACTATCAGTAGACCTGGCTCCATTCAAGTGCCAAAAATCATTTGTAAGGAAGAGATTGGTCCGTGCAAAGGAAGGAAGTCCCCCATGAGGTGGGTGGACACAGTAGCCACAGCAAGGGGCGGACACTTACAAGACCAGGCAGTAGAGCCTTCTGGGAGACCTAAGGCCACACGGAGTCAGCTGACTGGACAGCAACTAAGAGCAGCAAATGACGGAGGGAAGGGTGGGAGCTGCCACTGCCTGCCTTGTGTCTGCTCTCGACAGGCATGCCAGGCTGGGTGTCTCACTAACTCGCGTGCTAGCCACTGACACTCCCCTTATACAGGTGAGGAAATCCAGCTCACGACGGTTAAGTAGCTTGCTCAGAGTGGAAGCTAGCAGGTCTCTCTGGCTCCAAAACCTGTTGTCTTCCCTTTGACCGTGTGCTAGGCCCATAGCTGGAGGCCTGGTGGCATAGTGGGTTACTGGCTGAGACGTTGACTGCAGGGTCAGCATTTTGAAACCACCAGCCTCTCCACAGGAGAACGATGAGGCTTTCTACTCCCGTAAGGAGTTCCAGTCTCTGAAGCCCCCAGCGGCAGTGCTACGCTGTCCTGTGGAACAGCTTGCCTCTCATGTTCTGACAGAAACTGACTTGCAGGTGGGTTTTCTGGTCTGCCTGTGAGTTCCGTCTCACCACTGAGGGGAGAAGGTCGACTCACTTCTTGACATCGCGTTTCTTTAGGAATTGACTTCACAGGGGCCTCTGAATGCCACAGCCACAGCCCCCACCGAGCTGACCCTGGTTTCTGAAAGTCTAGTTGTCTCAAGTTCCGGCTGCCTCACTCTTGCCCGGGCAAGCCAGTGGAGGCTATTTTGAGCTTGTAGAGGTCTCTATGGTGCAGTGCTTACCGGCTCCCGTCCGTCCGTGGTCACTTTGGAGTAATTGTCCACGTGTTCCGCAGCCTGAGCACCTGTGATACAAAAACGAGAGGAAAACCACTCCCTTAGCCCATTCTGACTCTTCACAGCCCCATCCCGACAGCCTTCCAGACGTGTGTGGGAAACTATCTTTTCATTCTGTGTTTCCCTCACACTTTGTGGCACCTGCGTAGAAGCAGAGCAGGACTGATTTCCAAGCTCTCGTCCATTTTCCCTCAAGAATCCTCAGAGATCGATCCCCCCTTGTTTCCTTGACGACATGGTAGTTGTCAGGGTCCCGGCAGCACTTTTCATTGGCTGCCAAGATTGTGCACATGAGCGGCTTGCTCGAGCAAGCGCCTTTAACTCTTTCCTAGGATTATGCTGTCAACTGCCACGTGATCACGTGGGAGAGGATCGTCAGCCACTTCGACATCTTTGCCTTCGGCCATTTCTGGGGCTGGGCCATGAAGGCCTTGCTGATCCGAAGCTACGGCCTCTGCTGGACCATCAGCATCACCTGGGAGCTCACGGAGGTAAGAGACGGCGCGAGCCTCGCCAGTGTGTGCAGCTGTCCCGCAGGGAGCAGTCGACGGTCACCGGGAGCTGAGTCCTCTCCACACTCCCCGCCGGCCAAACCTTCTCAGTCTTCCCCGAAGAGCGAGCGCTGCCCACCTGGGCTTTCCTTTCGGTTTTCAAGCCATGCGTTGCTCGCTTTTCTCACACGAGTCTGCTTTCCCTCTCTCCTGTTAGCATTCTGTCATTTTCAATGCCTCTGCTTTCTTCCTCAGAAGCATTGGAGATGCTGAATTGTTTTAGTCACCTACTCACTGGGCAGCAATAACAGCACATCCCTTAATACTTGCTACATATCAGAAAGGTTAAAGGTAAAAAAAAAAAAAGGTTAAAAGTCAACCACGGAGGCAGCACCCCTGGACTCAGCAAATGCAGACTGCGGGGGCAGGCACTGTGCGGTTGTACCACAAGCGCCCCAAGCACATGACGTCAGTATCCCAGTGCGAACTGAAGAGTGATGAGGCCAGCTGAGAGGGGTGTGCTCACTCACCACTGTCCAGTGGGGGGCACTGTGGCGGGGAAGCATCACAGAGGCATCCAGGACGTAGACCTCCTTCATCTCTGTTGTGATCGCATCACATCCCACTTAATTCACAAAGGAGACGTTCTTGGCAAACTGATCAGAATGAAACGTCGGGCGTACATTTATCATGTGATCTTTATGCTGCTTTGAATAATTATTCCAGAGAACAAAAGCTGGCCATGTGAACTTGATGCTAATCATTGCCCTGGGCAAAACTTAGGGGCACGTGTCCTTCAGAGCTGGCTTCTATTCATGAGCTTATCACTTCACCTGGATCCCCACAAAGTCCGTATCACCGTAAATGCCCGCAGTGAACTAGAGAAGGCAATGAATGTCTCCATTGTTCAAGTGAGAGAACCTGCCTTCAGAGCCTTGGTTCTCCCTCTTGCAAGCCGTCCATCAACCCGATTTAACAGAGCAGAGGGGCCCCACTGGCTTTGTTAGACTAGAATCTTATCCACGCGGTTGCCAGTCTTTTCTCTTGTGGAATGGCTGGGGGTTCAAACAACCGGCCTACCAGTTAGCAGCTGAGCACTTAACCATCGCTTCACCAGGGCTCCTTGGACACCTCTCCTGAATGATCTCACTCCAATATCCCTTCCAGAAGCCTTCCCAATCCCTCCTTCCTTCCTTGTCACCCCTGGTCATCGGTTTCCACATCCCCTCACTTAGTCTCACTTACCTGCCACATCCTGGGTGCTTGATGCAAGATCATCACTAGTCCGATCTTTCCTCCATTTTGAAGGTCGAGGGTTCAAACCCATCAGCCACTCAGCAGGAAGAGAAAGACTTACGGTCTTGGCAACCGGATGTGTAAGATCGCTAGGAGTGAGCATTGACTGGATGGCGGTGGGGTTTTTGTTTGTTTGTTTGTTTGTTTGTTTGTTTGTTTGTTTGTTTGAGGGGGAGTACGATTCCAAATCGTGTCATCAAGTTCAGCATTTCTTTTTTTAAAATCATTTTATTGGGGGCTGCTACAACGCTTACCACAATCCATACATACATCCATTGTGTCAAGCACATTTGTACATTTATTGCCATCATAAATTCTCAAAACATTTGCTTTCTACTTGAGCTCATTTGTCCCCCTCCCTCCCCACGTCCCTCCCTTACGTATCCTTGATAATTTATAAATTGTTATTATTATTTTGTCATGTCTTACACTCTCCGACGTCTCCTGCTTTTATGATTCATCGTTGTTTTACCTCAATAGCTGTGGAGTGTTTTGAACGTGCACAAGCGTGGCGGATTCCGTCAGTGCTTTGCTCTCAGGTGTGAAGACTTCTCCTCGCCTCGTCCTGCTCGGGTTCTCAGTCTCCCAGGTCATTAATTGTTGGAGAGTCTATCTCAAGAGGGCCCATCATTCATTCAAGGACCCGTCGGAAAAACCGCAAAGAGCTGCTTAGATTAGTGTTAGTTACAGTCCATCAGCAACAGGAAAAGAAGAACCAGGTGATCGACCTCATTTGGTTTTTAGTGATATTAACCTGGTTTTTGATGGAAGTTCCCATTTGATAGTCTTCACTCCTCGAAGTTACTTGCAGTTCACCCGGATGTCAGCATCCTCTACGCTGTTTTCTGTGTACCCCTCGTCCCCTTAGCTTCTCATGTTTGTTTGCAAGAAACTGTTGGCCTTTCCACAGACCTTGTTTCTTTGAATGCTCTAGGAAAAAGGAAATGTCAATCAAGAGCTACTTGCAGAAGAGTGGTGTCCGGAAGAGAGAGATTGTCTTTCTGTGTGGCACCATTGTTACTGCTTATTCTTTACCAAGGGGCATCTTTTTCTGTGTTCTCAGCTTTTCTTCATGCATCTTCTGCCAAATTTTGCCGAGTGCTGGTGGGACCAAGTCATCCTGGACATCCTGTTGTGCAATGGTGGTGGCATCTGGCTGGGCATGGTCGTGTGCCGGTTCCTAGAGATGAGGACTTACCACTGGGCCAGCTTCAAGTGAGTCGTGTCTCTGGACATTCACCAACAGTTCCTCGCAGTGCACAGTCCTGTGCTCCAGCAGGTGCAGCTTCACGGAGTCTAGTGTCTTTCTTTGATAAGAAAGAAGCTCACACGTTAGTCATCGAAATGAAATGAGGATAAACCCAGTTTCAGGCATTCACCCGAAAATGTTGCATCACCAATGGTGGTTTTTCTCTCCCTCACCCCACATATTGAGAAGGTCCTAACTCCCTCTCGATTCTAGAGTCTTTTCTCAAGTCCATCGCCTCTGTTTTATCCCTCCCGCCTCCCACCTGTGTTGCAGACGTCCCTGGGTTGATTGCCCTCCCGACCTCACACCGTTACATTTGTAAGAACATCCGGTTTATGATGTCATTCCCCTGGGATGGTTTGCACTTTTTTTTTTTTAAAGAATAAAGTGATCAGTCATGTACCCAGCAAGTGAGGGCCCTCTATATACACCCTCCCAGCAGGCAAGGTTCTGCGTCTGAGCGCACTGGGATTGACCCATGTCCCTCCTCCTATCTTGCCTGACTCACTCTTGTCTCCTCAGGAAGCCGCATCTGGCTCCTTGGAGTAGTTGCACGTCCTTCCTGTTTCCCCAGAGGGCAGTGCTTGATCCAGCCTTGGTGGGTCTGCCCTTCCACTTGACTGTGGCCAGAACCACACCGTGGAGGAAGAGGACAGGGGTGACAAGAAAAGGCATGTTTTTTTGAGGTCCAAACAATTGTGAGCATTTTCCCACATCAGTCAATATTCTGATAAAATAGGAGTTTAAAGGGTTTCTTCACATCCCAGTTGGTTCTCTATTGTTTCAGAGTTTTTGCTTTGATGAAAAAAGAACATTGTGCTTCCCTGATTTTATTTTTGTTGATAAAGCCTTCGAATGAGATGATGCTAGTTGGGTTGCTAGCCAGATAGTCAGACGTTCAAAACCACTGGCTGCTCCGAGGGAGAAAGACGAGGCTCTCTACTCCCATAAAGAGTTACGGTTTCGGAAACCCACAGGAGCCATTCTACCCTGTCTATAGGGTTGCTCTGAGTCAGCATCAACTTCATGGCAGGGAGTGTGGTTTTTTTTTTTTTTTTTGTACACACCATTATGTAGATACACGTCCGTTCCATCGTCCTCTTTATCTGTAGTTTTTAACCTTTCTCAGTTTTGTTCACACATAAAATTGTGTGAGAACAGATTTCTTTTCTCTCCTGGGTGCTCTTTATGAATGAAGGACGTTAACACTGCCTTCTAAATACGAGTTGTAATCTGTACAGAAGCCAGAATTCTTGATCTTCAGCAGCTAGTGTTTCAAGTCCTCCTCACTGTCAGCAAGCAAGCGTGTGTTATCTGCTACCGCAGGTTGTTACTCAGCCTCCCTCCGATCCTGATGCCACACTCTTCTTCATATAATCCAACTTCTCTGATGGTTGGCTCAGCACACAGACTGAACAAGTACAGTGAGAGGATACAACCCTAAACCATACCTTTCCTGTTTTAAACCTTGCAGTCATCCCATGTTATGTTCACACAACTGCCTCTCGATCCGTGCACAAGTTCTGAAAGAGCACAGTGAAATGTTCCAGGTTCGTTGCTGTTGTTTTTATATAAATCATTTTATTGGGGCTCGTACAACTCTTAGTCACAAACCATACATCCTTCTCAAGGTTATCCACAGTTTATTATTCTCTGCTTTGAGCCAAGATCCTTCTGACATCAGCAATGATATTCCTATTCCTCTTCTGAATCTGTCAGTGTGCTGTTGCAACTGTTGCTGGGCGATCTTGAGTAAAATGTGCTCGTGTGCGATATCACTGATAATGAGCAGTTTGTTGGGTCACCTTGCTTTGGAATGGGCACAGATGTCGGCATCTTCCAATCAATAGGCCAGGTAGCTGTCTTACAGATTTCCTGCCACAGACAAGTGAGTGCTTCTAATGCTTCTTCAGCTTTCTGAAACATTTCAGTGGGTGTTCCATCAGTTCCTGAAGTCTTGTTTTCCGTTAGTGCGTTCAGTGCAGCTCGTATGTTACCTCCTGAAATAGTAGACTGTGGGCTAGTTCTTTCTGGCAGCATGATTGTGCGTATTCTTTCCATCTTCTCTTGATGCTTCCAGAATCATTTAATATTTGGCCTATAGAATCATTCAGAATTGAAACTCGAGGATGGAATTTTCCTTGGGTTCTTTCAGTTTCCGATTCCCTGCGTGCGCTCTTCCCTTTTGGTTGTCTAATTCTAGGTCTCTGCACATTTCGTTATTCTCTTTGGCTTTGTCTTCTCAAGCTGCCCTATGGAATTTTCTGTTCAGCCCCTTGACTGCATCCTTTGGTCCATTTGCTTTAGCTGCTCCAGGAGTAACAGAAAGTGTCAGTCTCTTCTGACAGCCACTTTGAGATCCACTTTGAGAAGTCTCTTTCCTGTCTTCTGAATGACCTTTTGCTCTTTTCATGAGTGATGGTCTTGATGTCCTCCCACAGCTCATTAGTGTTCAGTGAGTCACACGTTCTTGGGATGTTCTTGAAATTCAGGTGGGATAGACTGAAGGTGGTATTTTGGCTCTTGTGGACTCGTTTTCATTTTCTTCAGCTTTATCCTATATTTGCATGTCAGCAATTAATTGGTGGTCTGTTGCACAGTCTGCCCCTGGTCTGGTTTTAGATGCTGATAATTGCGCTTCTCCATAGTGTCTCCCCACAGAGGTAGTCAGTTTGAGTCCTGTGTATTCCTTCTGGGGAAGTCCACGTGGATATAGCCGCCTTTTGTGTTGTTGAAAAGAGGTATTTGCTGTGAAAAAGTTGTTGGTTTTGCAGAGTTCTATCATGTGACCTCCAGCTTCGCTTCTGTCTTCAAGACCATATGTTCCAACTAGTGTTGCTTCCTCTTTGTTTCTAACTTTTGCATTCCAATCACCAATAACTATCAATGCATCTTGATCGCATGTTTGATCCATTTCCACTGACGTCGTTGAGAGAGTTCTTCAATTTCTTTAGCCCTGGCTTTTGTGATTGGTGCATAAATTTAGTTGATTGGATTTCCTCGAAGGCGGAAAGATAGCATCCGATTCCAGATAGCACTGGGCTGTACCTCATGAAGGATTTAGCAAGACCCTTCCTGACAATGAAGGCCACGATTGTGTTGTTCCCAGAATAGTAAATTGTTTGATTTTCTGGTTTAAAAATGGCAAATGCCAGTCCATTTCGACTCAGCGATGCCTAGGATATTTATCTCCCTGTGTTTCATTTCATTTTTGGCCACCTCCCATGGTCCTGAATTCATACTTCTGCACATTGCAAGTTCCAATCATTGGAAGATTTTACTATCTTGTGCCTTGGAAAAAGCTACCCCCGTGCTTTGGATTTCGGCTTCCCCTAGCAAGGACTCCAGGGCCGGGATCTGCTCGCGCTCAGTCTGACTCTTCCCATTTGTGAGATGCGTGACTGCACCTTGCTGTCTTGGGGATCTGCGAAGTTTAACTCTGCTTTCTGGGATTAAAACTAAGAAAGGTTGAAGACCACTGTCCATCCACCCAAATTATTCACATTTTTAGGGAAGAAAGAGGGTAACGGAAAGCCGTGGATACATTTAGGGATAAGGAGCCCGGTGACCCAGAGGCTGAACATTCAGCTCTGTGTAATAACAGACCCAGGGATCTGCTCCCGTGAAGCTTCCTGCCCATGGACTGATGGGGCAGTTGGGCTCCGCCACACAAGGTCTCTCTGAGACGGCAACCCCCCACAACAGTGTCGGGAACAGGACCCATCTTACTTCCCGGTCTTGCTAGCACACCTCCTGGCCCAGGGCCCACTCACAGCCTTGCAGACGCCCACACTGTGCCTCGGCGGCGCCAGGCCATGACTGAATCTCAGCTGCTTGCTTTGTCACCAGTTCTCAATTGAAGACCGTTGCTGCCCTGCAGTGACAGGCCCTCTGAGGACAAGGACAGGTCACGTTGCACCTGTCATCCTGTGGTGATGATCAGTCGTCATCCATCCCCCCCACCCCACCGAGTACACACACAGGAGTGTGGGGTGAGCAAATAGCAAGGCCGGTATGGGAGAGGGGACTCTGCTTGTGCTGAGCAGTTATTACACAAGCATCAGTGCAGTCTTTGTTTTTGTTTTTTTGCCCAACAGTTTTGTTGGCAAGTAATGTACATATCATGTAATTCAGTAGTTCAATCATTCAGTCATATCAAGGAGAATTGCACAATCACTCCCACATTAGGTTTCTGTTGTTTTTTTGGGTGGAACATTCCCCTTCCCATGGTAAAATTGCTTCCAAGATGAGTTAAGCAATCACAATCTGTTCCAGGGCACCTTCCCCCTCCCATCTTCTTCACCATCCACTCCCAAGGCCTCCTTACCTTCCACATCATACCCTGCCTCCCAGTCCCTGTATTCCCTATAACGCCTTGTTCCAGTTATTCTCATTATGCATACACTCCACCTGTGCTTCACAGCTGGGAGACCCAATACAAAACAATAAAAAACAAAAATGCACTAAGGCAGTAAGGGGTGAAAACATAGGAGTATACAGACAAAGATACAAATAATGTGTAAGAAGGGACAGACCCTCAACAACATTCAGAAAGCCAGGAAGAACATTCCGTCTTGGAACCAGTAAGAGGTACTTGTCCCCAGAAATGTTTAGCTGCCATCTATGTTCAGCTGTTTAACTGGCCAGGCAACAAGGTTGATCCAGCAAAATCAAGATTATAGTGGTCTTTGCCGGATAGTTAGGCCAATCGAGACTTGTCCAGAGCAGGTCTGCCAGTGGCTCAGTCTGACCAGATGGTTTGCAGTTCCCACCGTCCCCCAAATTGGGCGATCGTAATTTTTGCTCTGATGTTTTTCTCCTCACCATATTCAAATTTTGTAATTGTCTTCTTTGGATCACACAAGCTGTGTGCTTCTTCCTTGTGAACTTAGTTGACTCCTTGCTTAGATGGCTGCTTATTTGAATCCAAGCCTTTAAGACCCCAGGAACTTTTCTGATTGATAGCCGGGCACCATCTGCTTTCTTCACCACACTTTGCTGTAGCGTCCTTATCTTCAGTGATCCTCTCACGAAGGTGAGTATGTAGCAGGGCCATGATGTTAGAACTAATGGAGCTAGGATTCAGTGTGAGTCCAAAATTCATTCCTGGATCTATGCCTGTTTAAAAATTTTGCTATAACTTGGGAGCCAATTGCATGTGTCTTATCATCCCCTAATTCAATCCATCAGTGCAGCCTGTGTTTCCTGTCTTTGCATTTCCCCCTTCGCTCCTTCTCCTCCTCTGCTTCTCTGGGTTCTCACCGGAGCCCTTTTGGTCTTGCAGGGACATTCACACGACCACGGGGAAGATCAAGCGTGCCGTGCTACAGTTCACCCCTGCGAGCTGGACCTACGTTCGCTGGTTTGACCCCAAGTCTTCATTCCAGAGAGTGGCTGGCATCTACCTTTTCATGATCATCTGGCAGGTATTTTTGTTTTTAGGATGCCCAGAGCTAGGAAAAGAAATAAACAGAGCCGCTAAAAGAGAATGTAGAGTTCATTTTACCTTGCTTTGCATGCCGTCTCCATTCGTGTTTCTCAAACTGGGCACGGCTGTTTCTGGATGGGGGGTGGGGGAGTTGGGGTGGGTGTAGAGGGGGGAGGCGTGCTGTAAAACCAGATGCCTGCGATTTATCCTGGATTATGGGCTCTTGTGTAAAATTTAAATTATTTGTTTCATTTTCAACCATTTTATTGGGGGTATCTTTCCTCGCTCATGCAATTCATTGGTTCAGTCACATCAGGCAGAGTTGTTCAATCATCACAATAATCCGTTTTTAGAACACTTTCTTTGTTCTTGTACTCATCATTTATAGTAGTCTATTTTTTAATTGCCAGGAGAGCGCTGAGTAATTTTTTTTCTTCCCCCCTGAAAAGGGGGCTCGAGGCCCACTAAGTCTGGGACACATGAGCTGGATGCTTTGGGAGATGCACTGCCCGCTCCCCAGCTGCCCCCGGGGGAATGGAAGCGATGTGATAGCGAAGTCTGTCTCCTCTGTGAGGGCATTTCACAATCAAGATCCTCGAATGGTGACTTATAGGCCGAAGTCCCTGGGAAAAAAGCAGCACCCTAAAATACTGCTCAGACCCATCCCTCGATGAGTCTGTCTGGATGGCTTGTTAGAATGACTGTTTTCAGGGCTAAATGGACAGGTTTGACTGATGTTGCAATCAAGCTCAGTGTTTGACGTTCAAAATTGTATCTCAGCCATTACCACCCTGGGCGCTTTACAGAAGGCAAATAGAGAAGCCCCCAGATGCCCAGAGAGGAGCCATAGTGGAGCCGTTGGGGGAGCATTGGGCTGCTAACTGCAAGGCCAGTGGTTCAAGCCCACCAGCTGCTCCGTGGGAAAGACGAGGCTGCCTGCTTCTGTAGAGATTTATAGCTTGGAGCCCCTGTGTAGGTTCGATGTGCGTTGCAGCTACTCAACGGCAGTGGGTTTGGTTTGGTTTGGCTGCAGCCTCGGGACAGTGGAGAATTTTCATCCAGGATGTTGTCAGCAGCAGCTAGAAGCTGTAGTTCTCCATGCCAAGTACATTACTGAGGTAATTCCGGCATGAAGGTCCTTGGAAAGGGATGATCCTACCTCTGGAGCCAGACTTCTTCCTGGTCATCCTTCCCCCACGTACAGTTTTACAGCTGGTGGAGGGGAAGAGAAGCCAGCACTTGCCTGAAGGGGCTTGATGAATTGTTAGGAGTGACAGTTCGAGCAGTGGGCACACAGTCCCAGCGTGCGGGGACCCTGCTCTGTGTCACGTTGATAGCAGGACTCTTCCGTGTCCACACGTGGAGGGTGACATGACCATCTTAATCAACAGAGCGTATGTAAACAGAAATGTTCGCGTGTGTTTACGTGACCACTTGGCTTGGAGAAGTCTGCTTTTATAAAAGAGGACAGTAAATGCATCGGACCCAAGCGTTTCCTTATCAGGGCACATGCCAGGGTAGGTATATGTACTCCTTGAGTATTCGAATAGTCAGGAGGAGCAGTTGGCCCAGGAGAGACGGGGTTCCGGTTGGAGACGGTAACGCAGGCGGCATTCCACCTCTGCATGGGCGGGAACGTGCCTTGTGACCGACTTCCCTGTGCAGCATGAACTGGTGGCCTGTTTTTCATTTCCTTCCTTTGAAGTCAGTGCTGTCACAAGTTTGATGTCATTGAAATGCACCTGCCTGTTCAGACGACCTTGACCTTGCTGCAGTTCCACTCTGAAAGGCCTGGACTCTCCAGGTTCGACGGTTAGAATGGACTCTGCAGCCACTGTTTTGCTTGGGACTGGACAACGAGCCCATGCTCCGAGCGAGCCTCTGTGCTCCGCTCACAACCCCGCACCACCCCGGGCCTGAGGGGCCATGGCCAACACTGGACTGGTTTTCAGCTAGTTTGGATTGCCACCCTTGGAAGGGCTGCAGGTGCCATGACCATACCAGTGTCCATTGAGAGAGGACTGACTAAACCTGGCTTAGCCGGAAGTACCAGGTTAACAAATTTCTCTCTCTTTCTGTCTCTCTCTCCCTCTCTCTCAGCTGACAGAGTTGAACACCTTCTTCTTGAAACACATCTTTGTTTTCCAAGCCAGTCACCCACTGAGTTGGTGCAGAATCCTCTTTATCGGCGGCATCACGGCTCCCACAGTGAGGTAATTCTGAACAAGCCGGCCACTGTTTGGGGGAGTTGACCAGCTCCCTAGACTGCTCCCTAAGGGCCCTGAGAAGCCAGTCTAAAGGATTGCGCAGAGTCCCTGGATAGCGCAGACCGTAACTGGTGCTCTGCTGCTCACGGGAAGGTTGGCTGTTGGCGTCAGCCCAGAGGCTTGGTGGAAGACAGGTGTGACAATCTACTTCTGAGGACCCAAAGGAGCGCAGGTCTGCCCACCTGGAGTGGCAGCGTCACCGGCTTGTATGTGTTGTAGAAAAGACTGCATTATCTTGCAGTGTTTTTTAAATATTAATTTCTAGAAAACAGAATAAACCAGTTGCCCTGGAGTCATTTCCCACTCTGGCCGACCCTGTGCATGTAGAACTTTGCTCTATAGGGTTCTTAAATGGGAAGTCTCTTCCCGGGTGCCTGTGGGTGGGTGGGCCTGAACCTGTAGTCTTTCCACCCAAGAACACGAAACCTTAGCATCACCCACACAAGCACTCCTTGTATGGATGACATGTGGAAATTAAAAGGGTTTTGATCTGTTGGGTTAGATAGTAAGTAGGTACTATTAAAGTTGATTTTATCAGTTTGTTTTTTCACGTGGCTCCTGGATAATTTAAAGTTGTACGTGTGGCTCACATCTTCCATGTAAGCTCTTTCTGTTGGACAGCGCTGCTCTCGGCCTTTAAATGCCATGCCATTGCTGCTTTGTGCTGACCCGGTCGGTAACATTTAAAATCAGTGGCCTTCAGCCACCAACTGCCTCTTCAAACATTCCGTAGAAGAGTCCTGATCCAAAGGGGGAACTAGGGAACCGAAGTGCAGATGATAGGAGAGTCCAGGCTTTCTGAAGCCATTCAGGCGGGATGAACCCACCAAGCTATTAGCCTGTGATTTCTCTTTGAACCTTAGGCCGTACGGATCCCCTGAAGCTTTCCTTAACCCAGACAGTAGTTTAGCTCCGCTAGTGAAGATGGTCTGCGCTAGCATTGCACTCTTGAAGAGCTGTCTCTAGGCATCAGTGGACAACAGCCACTGGGGAGGAGCAGTACAGACAATGTGACTGGTCCCATAAGCTCAGAGCATGGAGTCCGTCTCACTGAATTGTACCTGTAGACAGCGTTTAATTAGTGGACGTTTTATATTTTCAAAAGCAATAACAAAATCAGATATTGAGAAAGAAGGGCACAGAGAAAACATGGACATGCAGTGACTGAAGGGCAGGCGGAGTTCAGAGAGCCAAGCTCTGTCTGCTGCTGGCCTGAGTCCGAACAATCACCTTTGTCCTGGAGAGACCTCAGGAGCCACCTGTGTAGGAAGGACTCAGCTCAGGGTCCTGGGGAGTGGGGGCAGGGTGTCTGTAATCTGCCTCTTCATATTGCTCCCCTCCCCCCTCCCCCCGTCTCAAAACCCTTAACCCTTGATAAGCATGTTTCAGCAGACACTCGCCTCTCGGTGCCCGTAACAAGACTAGACCAGGCAGCCTGAGCCCTGGAGCCCGGCAGGGTCAAGTTTTATAGTTGCTTTGTCCACATTACTTAAATGTGCCATGAAAGCACATTGCTTTGTTCCTGAGGCAGCTCTCACTGCCTTCTGACTCTGTCCTTGCAGGCAGTACTACGCGTACCTGACGGATACACAGTGCAAGCGCGTGGGGACCCAGTGCTGGGTGTTTGGGTGAGTATCAATTCTCTGGAGGCAGGTGAACAATGCTTGATGCTGTTGTTTTATATACCGTTCCTTTTTCACAGTCCCTTTTCAGACACAAGTGTAGAAAAGTTGCAGTTACCACCCCAGCGTCTAACCCACCGCACTCCCAGGGCTCCTTACGTCAAAACCCCAAACCAGACTCATCGCCATTGAATCAATTCCGACACCGAGCGGCCCTTTAGGGCAGCGTAGAACTGACCCTGCGGACGTCTGAGGCTGTAACTCTTTATGGGAATAAACAGTCTTGTCTTACATGGAGTGGCTGGTGCTTTCGAACTGCAGACCTATGGTTAGGGGCCCAGCACATAACCACTATACCACCAGGGCTCCTCAAAGCAGCAGCCTGCTCTGGTCGAGTATAATTTTTCTTTTCCAGAGGTAATTATGGTAGGGCCATGATGGATTGTCTTTCTCTAAATGCAAGTGCTGTGTCTTAATATACTAATTAATTTGGAAGTTTAGTCCCCAAGGTAAGTGGACAACCCTTGTTAGCAGATCGGGTCAGTGATCCCTTGCTTAAACGTCAACACTCGGCACTCCCGTTTAGGAACCAGCTTTCCAGAGATATCCAGCACACCGGTACCTGGGAGGGAGGTTCACAATTTGGTCAAGGTTCTAAATGAGAGCTTCTCCAAATGGGCCATACTGCCCCCTCGAAGCACTGGAACAACCCTGGGGGTGGGGTGTGCTGCGAAAGTAGATAGTTCCCCATAATCAGGGATTGTGGGCTGTGACACAGGAGTTTGTAGTTGCCAGGAGGGTGCTGAGTAGGTTTTTTCTGAAGGGGAGGTAGGTAGGCCACATAAATGTGGGAGCCTCTGCTCTGGAGAAAGATGATGCAAAGGAAATTCAATGGAAACTTGAAGTAAGAAGATACAACAGATCCTTTCATCAGATTTTTGTTTTTCCAAATAACTTTTTTTCTTCAATGAAGAACTAAGAGCATATGTAAAAGAATATGTTGTTGTTAGTTGTCATGCAGTCAGTTCCAACTTGTGGCCACTTCATAGAGAACCAAGTGAAATACTGCCTGGTCCCCCACTATCTGCATGATTGCCTGTCTGTCGGGCTCGTGGTTACAGCCAATCTGTTTCGCGTGCCTTCCGGCGGTCTCTCTGGAGGCTCATCTGCCGGCACGGGGTCTCACGTTTGAAGTAGATTACCAGCTTGTCTTAGTTGGGACCTCTGCTGGACCCTGTGCCTCATGAGTGACCCCGCTGGTCTCACGTAAATACCGATGGCCACACTCAAGCCACCACAGAGGCAAGCTGACCTGTGGAAGAGGGCAAAAAGACTATATGGTGGGTGCTGGGTGCAGGCAGCTCTGCTGACTTGCAGCAACCTCCTGGATGGAGTGGAGCAGCTCTGTAGGGTTTTCTTGGCTCTCATCTTTGAAGACACAAGTCCAGGTCATAGCTCCCATGGAGCCTCCGACTGGGTTTCAGCTCAACTTCCTGCTCCCAGCCTAGCCTGTCACCCTTGTGTCACCATAGGAACCAAAGATCACCCCCCCCAGCTAGCCCCCCGAAAGATAATTGCTGCTAACATGTCAGTGCCCCTCCTGCCAATTGTGTGTGCGCGCACGCACACGCAACCACCCAGGATCCAAGCCCACATTCTAGACTCTGAAGTTCCAAAAACTGTAATTTTAAAGGATAAGAATTTTAAGGGATAAAAATCTGTTGCTGGGTTTAGACAGATCTTTTGTACCCTTTTCCTGGAATACAAAGGGTCTTTGTTGTCTGTGCCTTACAGACTGGTCTAAGCTGATTTTTTCCTCCCCAGAGTGACTGCGGCTGACAGGGTGATAAGATGGGCTCAATTCCCTTTGTCTAACGAGAGGGAATTTCTCTCATTAAATTTCATTTCTCAGACACCAACGGCAGAGACTCTCCCCCCCCCCTCCACGCCCCCCCCACCCCACGGGGCTGGGACACGGTGGTGGTGATAGAAAGCAAGGTTGCCAAGCGCCTGCCCGAGGGCCCTTTCCACCAGGCCTTTGCTTCCCTACCAAAGCCGTTGGCGAGGTCTTCATCCAGGTGCTAGACGAGATGTTTTCTACCAGCCCCCAACCTGCTCACAAACAAGAGCTGTGGGGTCGGAGAAGGGAGCGGTGCCACGTCACAGTTTCTTTCTCACCGAACAGCCCAAACCGAATCCCCAAAGGAGGCCCCCGAGCGGTAGCAGGAAACAGGGCCTTGTCAGAAAGTGGTTAAAGTGAAATAAAAGGCAGACCAACCATCATTTGGCTTATTTACTGTGCTTCTTGGGAATGTAGAGGGCCCAGAACAGAGAAGTCAGGATGAATGGGTCTGTGGAGGACGCGGGCACGGCGCAGTCACAAACTGCCTGTGTAAATCAGGCATGCCGAGCCAACGTGCCTATGGCGGGTGTGCACTGTGTACACGGCTGCCCCCTGCTGGTCAGAGGGGTGAGAAGCAGGAGGCCCCAGTCTCCCCTCCCCTTGACCTCAGCTCTCTACCTGTATGTCCCCACCTGCTCACCTGCCTCAGCTTTACCCCTGCCTCCCTCCACCCTTAGCCTCACCCCCACACCCCACCCCTCAAAACAGGACTGGGTTCAGCCACTAGTTGTAATTGGAATGATTGTGGTTCTAAAGTTGTGGCACTGTGAGAGAGAATAGTCAGGAGTGACCCATATCCAGTGGCTTTGGCTTTCCTGAACCCTGACCTTTGCCCTTTGGGAGGTGGCAAGGAGGAGGGGAGGGTCAGTTAGGATCTCCTGATGTCTATTATCACACCCTCCACACCAGTCTTGTCTCCCGAAGAGATCATTTATCGTGGGCAAACATTATACCGCCAGCATCTGTGCTGGCTGCTCGCCGATGTAACTAGGTATGAGCTCTCGGTGTGGTCCCCAACAGCTGCTTCCCGGACCTGCGCTCTTAATCCTTTTGTACTTAACATGCCATGCTTCACAGAAACGGGCCACAGTCCAGCTGGAGAGCAGAGTTCTCCACCCCAGCCCCCAGGGAGAAAGGAGGGGCATGAAAGAGGTGACTGCTTCTCACAGGGACTGCAGCACCGGGGAGGGGAGCAGAAGGGAGGGGAGGACCATGGCTTCGGATTCAGACCCACCACTCTTAAACTGTATTCAGTTGGCATTAAGACTAACAGCAGCCTCAAACTCTACACTCACGGTTGATGCCTTTTCTTCCTGTTCACTGCACCTGCCTGGAGCAGATCTCACTCCCAAAATTCCACTGTTGAGAGCGATCCACACATTTGCTGATGGCAGTGCCTTTGTATCTGCTAGGGGTTTGCAAGGAGAGGGGGCTGAGCCCAGCCCGTGGCCTCTCTCTGTCGTAGGGAGTGTCTGTAAGTACACCAGTCTTCCTTGTCCAGGTTCCACCTAGAACAAGGAGCACCTCAAGTTGAGTTGCAGGAAAGCACTATTCATATATGCAGTTTGAGATCACGCGACTCCCTCCCTCCCCACTGGACTGGTTGGTGGTCCAGACGCACCAGCCCCTCCAAAGGATGAGGATGAGGCTGTCTGCTCCTTTAGACGGAGTCTTGGAAGGCCTATGTGGGGGTGCTGGGGGTTGGAATCGACTCGATGGCAGTGGGTGTGGCTCTTTCTCACCCTTCCCCAGAGGTCTCAGTAGCTCTTTGTCTGGGGATATTCTTTCCCCCATGGTACAATCCCATAGGAAAACCTCAGCAGCTGCGGGAACGCCAAGTAGCCGCCTCCCCTGTGGGTACCGTGGCCTCCCCTGTGGGTACCGTGGACTCCCCTGCACTCAGGGTTCGTGGTCCAGACCACATGTGGCAGCTTCTCTCTGCTGGAACACCAGCTCAGAAACCCTGCTGAGCTGCGAGGAAGGAAGAGCTCATTCTTAAAAATAGCATTAATTATTTCTGTAGAAAGTACAGTGGACTAGACCAGGGGTTGGCACACTTTGGAGATACAAGAGCCAATCCTGTCCCTCACAACAATTTAAAAGTCATTTGAGAGCTGCAAATATATTTTTACAAACAAATGAAATCACCGTTATCTGAATAATATTCTTTAGAATTTTTCAATTTTCAGAGACACATGGACATTCTGAAAGAGCCGCATGTGGCTTGTGAGCTGCAGTCTGCTGACTCCTGGACTAGAATGGTGTCGTTCTGTGGGTACATGCTACGTGTGGACGGTGTAGAAGTGTTCTAGCCAATGAGCCTTTATATTGATGAGGCGTAGTTCTGGTAATCTGTGATCTAGTAAGATGAGCCCGTGCTGAACCTCTTGTTCTCTGTTTCACTAGGGTCATTGGGTTCCTGGAAGCCATTGTTTGCATAAAATTTGGGCAAGATCTCTTCTCCAAGACCCAAATACTCTATGTTGTGCTTTGGCTTCTTTGTGTGGTAAGTCATTATAATTTTTTAAAATTGGGAATTAGGTCGGGGTTTGTATTTCAGATCATCAATTTTGTGTTCCATAGTCCCAAGTACTACTAATGCAAAGCCCCGGCCACTTACCCCCCTCACCCTCTGATCTCTTCTCCCTCTGGATTGCTGTCCTCCCTTCCCCTATCGACCGTCTAGCCCATGGCTTCATCTTTCCTCTCCATCATTGTACCTAAAAAGTGTTAGCTAGCTCCCATGGTATCTCTTAGAAAAAGAAAATAAGACAATCGACACTCTTGTGCGACAGTGTTCCGTAGAAATTCCCAGACAAGTCATTCTCCTTGTAATGCCCCAAGATTGGCCACAGGCTATTGCCATTATCAAGTTCAGAAATAAAACAGGTAGGACCGCACGGCCACCACAAACAAGTCACTGTGGATGGGTTTAGTCACAGCCCTCCGCAGGTGCACCGTGCACACCTGTCTCCAGCATACAGGAAGTCATCCACACGTGGGATGTCACGCTGCCACGGAGGACCTCGCGCTCGGTGGAGCGGAGGGGCAGCAGAAAGGATGTGGCTGCAGGAGGCGGATGGGCACAGTGGCTGCAGCACCGGCCTCAACAGAACAATTGTGAGGCTGGCGCAGGACCGGGCAGCGGTTCCTTTGGGAGTCGTGACTGACATAAAGGGAGAGGGGCCTTTACGGGACTCTGTCCTTCGCCACATTTTCACAAAGCCTCTCCACATCCAAGAGTTCGTGTACAAAGTGCATCATATCGAGGCGATAGAAGATCTTCAGGAGGCCAGTAGCCTAAGCAGACCCTGCGGTGGGCTTACACCAGCTGTCTTGGGTTAAGGTGACCTGAGAAACAGATCCAGTGGCTGGGGAAACTAAAAGTGCTTTTAGGTCAAAAACATCAAGAAAGCACTCCAGCCGTCCAACACGAGTCCGTAAGTCCCTCTTCAGACACACGCAGCCTCGTGGCATGGCGCAGATGGCCCGAGGGTGCAGTCGTGTGGCTCGTGGTCGGCGGAGCCGTGGCGGGGCTCTGGCAGCGCTCGGGCTCCATGGCAGAGTCTCAGCACACAGGAAGGCGAAGAGGGAGAGCCGGCCAGAGGTTCCCCGATCTCCCAGCGAAAAGAAGGCCATGCCCCCAGGAGGCGTCATCAGGCTGAGCTGATGGGCAGGTTGGATTCCACTCCTCTCTCCCACACCATCAAGTTGACACAAATCTTCTAACCTTGCGGAAGATGAGCCTTCAGTTGGATGAGCGGCGCCTCGCAGGGAAGCGGCCGGGTCTCCAAGCTCTCCTGAAGCTCCACAGGCGTTTCTGCGTCACCCGATGGGCTGCCCGTTACGGGCGCCTCCTTGGTGCTGATGATTAATTTCTCCCACGTGCTTGCCGAGGGCACCAAGCAGACCGCGTGAGAGAGCTCGGTGAAAGGGCTCGGCCAGCCTCTGGATCGTCGCCACCGTCTCGAAACTGCAGGAAGACGTACGGCCCGGCATCTGCTGACTACCCTTTTTCAGTCGGATTTTGAAAATGTAGATTCCTATCTTAACATATAAGCTGAAGAGCCCTCACTTGAGGTCTTGCTTCATCCGTGGTAAATGTCAAACCTGTTTTTGAGCAGAGACTCAGTCAACCCTCGTGGTGCCCGACATCCCGTTTCCACCAGGATCAACTCCTGGCTCATTTTGGGGTCTTTACTCACTGCCCCCCTCCCCCACACCCCATAGCTGGGAGGGACCTAGGGTGACTCCCAGGTGTGTGCCCCTGGCACCTGCCAGTGTGGCTGTGATTGATGGAGGGAGATGCCTCTGGTTCCCGGGAGGTGGCGCTGGAAGGATGCTTCGGACCGACAGGGAAAGGTGTCTCGCCTCCTTGGACACTAGTCAGCCCAGTCGTGTTGGGCAGACTCAGTCAGCCCTGGAGCTAAGGGGCCGGAGTCACTGGCAGCCAGGGTGCAGTGGGAGCCATGGGATGAGGCCCGCCTGGGAAGCATCCCGGGGATTGAGAAGCAGACTGAGGTTGGAATTCTGTGGAGCAGCCGTGGGAGCGATCAGGCTGAGGAAGAGGAGCCAGGAGCCGTGAAGGCCCTCGCGTGAGGTGAGCAGTGAGTGGTCCCTGGGCCCAGCACACTGACCAGTGAAGGGAGAAAGGAGCTCCGGTGGCCACTTCTCCATGCCCGCAGCCGGACGGTCCCCACCCATGGGCGAGGAGGGACGACTCTCCAGGGAGGGTGTGAAGTCCCACCGTGCATGTCACCGCTCAGACAAGCCAAGACCCAGGCCCTCCTGGAACGCGGCAGGGCGGGCGCTGAGAGGAAGTGGAAGCACAGACCCCGCATGGTGGTGAAAAAGCCCCCCAGAGCACTTTCCCATCAGGACGCGGCCCTTTGCTGGACTTGGGAGCCTGCCCCCAGCGCACCACCATCGCCGACCTCTGCCACGTCCTCTCTGGCTGCCCCTCCGCAAACCCTTCGTTAAACGAAACCTGGACACTTGCTACGCTCAATCCAGGGCTTGAGGTGCTAAGTGGACTTCCACAGAGGGGAGCGCAGAGCCCCGGCCCCCACTGGTTTGTCTCCTGGGACAAGTGGGAAACGGGCACCTTTCCTCTGGGGCTTTTGGTGACCGTGATGCTGAATCACCCGCCGGTGCCCCCCTGCCTCTGCAAAGCCCATCCTGGCCCTCAGCCTGGCCTGGGAGGCAGGGCGCCCCAGGTGGCCCTGCCCAGGGGTGTGAGGGCCAGGGAAGGGCTCATTGTTACCGGCCAGCCGGGCCTGCCCTCTAGTGGGCAGCATTTGCAATGACGGTCCCGCCGGCCACCACTGCTGTCTCTTTGGACTTCTTTGGTGTCACACTCACCACCTGCACCCATAGCCACCCACTGCCTGTGTTGAGGGTGGCGGGACCTGCCCTCCCCATTGTTTCCAAACCATAAAACGGTACATTGGAAATCGGAGCAAGCACCGGTACCCTGTCATGGTTTGGCTCCTTACAAATAGAATTTCCTGGGTTTCTTCACTGCCAGATTTTTTTTTTTCTGGGGAGCTAGGAGCTCTTCTTAGATCTGATTTTCAGATAGATCCAGTATGACATGACCCAGGTGTGCCTGTGCCACCCCCTTACCACGCCACTGCCTCTGCTTGAGTGGCATGGAAGTGGGAGGCCCTTTCTCGGGATGTGGATTGATGGCAGAGCACTTAGTCCACCCAGGTGACCTAAGAGAGCGGGGCCAGAGCAGGGCTGAGTGTATGCTGTGGCAGGGTAGGCTGGGGTGGGCCGGCCTCTCAGCCGTATGCCTTCCCTGGGCTGCAGGCCAAGGTATAGAGGGTACCCCGTGGCCCCGGCTGTTCCACGGTACTCTTCTTCCTGGGGCTGTGGGGGATGGAAGACAAGAAACAGCTGCGCAGACATAAAGTGAGCAAGTGCGTACAGCCACTCCTGTGGAGAGTGACGTAGCCACCTGCTCCCGGGATGTTCTCCAGCCTAGGCAACCCTCTCCGGGTCCCTGCCAGCCAGCACCGACTCGGGGCCAGTGGGTCGGGCATGTTGGGTGTCATCAAATTGACATTGACGCAAAGTGACCCCACGTGACCACATAGGGCTGTCCCGCAGGATTTCCTAGGTTGTAACTTTCATGGGAGGAACTCTGGTGCTGTCATGGGTGAAGTGCTCAGCACCTAAGCCATCGGGGTCAGCGGTTCAAGCCCACCAGCCACCCTTCTTGAGTTGTGCAGTCTTAGAAACCCTGTGAGGCCCCTGTGCTTGGGTTTGGTTGTGTGGGGAATGGTCATTACAGGAGCGTGTCACTGTGTGGGTTTGAGCCATCAACCTTTCCCTTAGCAGCGGAGTGCTTAACTCTTGTGCCACCAGGACTCCGTCCTTTCATCTCTAAACTCAAAACCAAGCCCACTGCCATCGGGTCCATGCTGACTCGGCGATGCTATGGGTGCAGGCGAGCTGGCCCTGTGGGTTTCCAAGGCTGCAGACCCTGCCCTGTCTCCTGCAGTGGGAAGCTGTGGCCTCGGGCAGTGAGCAGCCCAATGACTGACCTAGGAACGTCCAGACAGCCCCGTGTGTCTGGGGGAGGGCCGGTGGGGCTGTGGAAAGCAGAAATCCAGTATGAACTCGAGCTGTTAGCCCATTTGAACAGTGCTCTTGCCTCCTGAAGCTGAGTCACAGCAGTCACTGGGCCACCCTAAGGGGTCAGAAACCCCCACTCATCTCAGGGGCCATTGCCTAAGGGATGTTCCTGGAGGGGTGGCAAAGTGTACTGAGCCGAATCCTGGGGGCTGTGTGTGTGTGTGTGTGTGTGTGTTGGGGATGGAGGGGTGTCAGCCAGCTTCCATCGCGTGACTTTGTGCGTGTTTTCCTCCTACAGGCCTTTACCACTTTCCTGTGCTTGTACGGCATGGTGTGGTACGCAGAGCACTATGGCCACCGCGAGAAGGTATGGAAGGGCAGGCGGCTCGGCATCTGTCTCTCTGGTTTTTAATCTCTCAGTTAGCTGTACTGAGCCTCAGACAGCACATCATACAATTCAAAAGTCCACAGTCATCGCCACAGTCCTTCCTTGTGGCCCACTGAGTGGACTCCCGGCTGCCCCGCCCTGCTGGGGGCTGCTTGTTGTGCCTGTGCAGCCGGTCCGCATTTTCATCCCTTTCGTGATTGTGTGTGTGTTTTTAACAGCCATGGGGAAAGTACCAGCCCCCTTTCTGGAAGGCCTGGCTGTGACTCCCTTCTCTTCTGCTGGGTGCCAGGACTTCATCTGTCCCAGGCCGGGCCCTTGTCAGGAAGACAGAGGTCATGCCTTCGAGGCCCACCTCCTCGCAGTGACGAAGGAGAAAGTGGGAAATAGGCGGGACTGGACTTAGAACACTACAAAAAACTCCACATTGGCTATAGTGATTTTTAAAAGTAACCCTTAAACACTTGAGGTTTGGGTTCATACTTTGTGAGTCTGAGAAACTGCAGGTACTTTCTGGAGGATTCGTCCTGTGTTCTTTGGGCCACCCTGAGAAAAGCCCAGCTTTTAGAACTTTTAGAACAAGACTCAGGAGGAGATGTGAGGTGTTTTTGCCGCCTGCTGGTGCTACCCCCTAACCTGGACAAGGTCGACAAACCCCGAACATAGGTGTCTTCTGTTCCTCCCAGGGAGGATTTGAGATTCTAATCCCGGACTCTCTCATCCCCTAGACCTATTCAGAGTGTGAGGATGGCACCTACAGCCCAGACATCTCCTGGCCTCACGGGAAGGGCACCAAAGGTATCTATTTCCTGTTTTCGATTCAGAACTGGCCTGACCCAGGGCAGATTTGGGATCCGTGTTTCGAACTCCGAATGGTAATCCTGTACTGCTGAGTGGGCTCAGACTCCCTGAGGCGCAGTGCTCCCGAGACCCGCAGGAGAGACTTGCTCCGTTCCCAGAGGCCCACGGCAGGAAAACAGTGAGGCCAGTGCTGCCGCCGCCGGTGGGGCACGCGGTGGCCCACCCTCCAGGCTTCCCTGGCGTAAAGGGTTAGAGCAGTGGTTCTCCACCTTCCTAGTGCCGCAACCCTTTCATACAGTCCCTCAAGTCGTGGTGACCCCCCAGCCTTAAGATTATGTTCGTTGCTACTTCATCACTGTCATTTTGCTACTGTTATGAATCGGGAGACCCCTGTGAAAGGGTCGTTAGACCCCCAAAGAGGTCCTGAACCACAGGTTGAGAACCGCTGGGTTAGAAGGAAGGGAAGCCCTTCAGAAAAGGTGCATGTGCTTAATTGGTCTAAGAGATTCCAGTCGGGTACTCAGGAATCCTCCATTGTCTACTTCCCTAAAGAGCCTTCTGGAAAAATCTGGGCCACGGGATTACTTGAAAGAAGTAGGCTTGTGGGATAAGCACACTGGGGAGGCTCTGCTGGGTTCTGTGTCTTGTCAGTCCCTGAATGAGAGGGTGGGCCATTAGGGACAAATCACGAGTGCTCTAGACCATGCAGGAGCTGGGTTCACAATAGGCTGCTAACCACAAGGTTGGCAGCTCAAGACTACTATCCAGTTGGTGGGAGAAAGATGAGGCTTTCTATTCCCATGAAGATGTACATTCTCAAACCCACAGGGTCACTTCTCCTCTGCCCTTTGTGCTCCCTATGGGTCAGAATCAACTCTGGCTCTGAGAGTGACCGTGAATTTTCACTCACTGAATTAAACAGAGTGTGCCTGGGGACATGCCACCCAGTGGCTTTCCTAAGCCCATGGAGGTCTGGTTTCTGCGAGATGGCTCGGGGGGAATAGCACAGGCCCTGTAGACCTGTCCGCCCCCTTTCTTGTGAGATCGTCCCTTGTGTTCAGGTGTGGGGTCAGGGCCTGTGGGGGAATGTCAGTAGTCGGGGACAGAGGCCTCCCTCCGACCCCGAAACCCTCTCTAGGTCCTTGCTGGAGGAGACAGCCTTGCCTCATCTTTGTCCAGCTGGAGCGGCTGATAGGTTTGAACTTGACATGCCACTTAGCTGTCCACTGCTTAATGCATGGCACCACCAGAGCTGCTGAGGCCTCTGAGACCCCATTATGTGGAGGCTCCCCTTCGAGGCCCTGGGTCTCCATCAGAAGAACCTAGCAGTGACAGGCTTGAGGCCCCGTGCGGGCCAAATGGTGCATACTCTCTCAGCTGTTCACCCAATAGGTGGGTGCTCTGAACCCACTGGAGGCACCGCAAAGAAAGGGCCGGCTGTCTGTCTCCCCCCAGTCGGCCACAAAGAGGCCTGTGCAGCACAGCCCTGCCGTGGGGTCGCCATGATCAGCCTGGCTCAGTGTTAGCTGGTAGAGAGAGCATCCAATGGAAGGTAGTTGGAGTCTACCAGAGCAGTCTTCAGAACACTGAAGTCTCTTGGATGGGCCAAAAGCTACTTCCTGTGGAGACAGAACCGCAGGATGGGTGCTTAGCCAGAGTCCTGAGGGGCTGGAGCTGAGGCTGAGGGCAGAGAACCCGTCGCTTGAGGTTAGCCACCACCTCAAGCCAGCCCGGGGCCAGAAAGTCCTGCTGACCTACTAAACCAAGTGCTCCTGTGCTCCTGGCTGCCCTGCCTCCCTCCCTGCTGGCGGGTGGCTCGGACTTGGTCGGCATGCGGCGTCCTCAGGAGAGCCAGGCTTTGAGGCCCCAGAGCTTCCCCACCCAGGCAGCATCTGGACCGGTGTCACCCTGCCGGACAGAGCCCTGTGGGCGTGACTGCCCCTGCAGGGGGCTGTGTGGTGTGTGGCTTCAGAGGCGGCCCCTGGCTGCCATCGAGCTGACTGCCCATGTGTCTGGGCCAGACAGGCTTCTGCAGCGGCTGCGTGTTCAGAAGGGGATCACCAGCCCTTTCTGCCCGGGTGCCTCTGGGTGGGCACGAGCCCTCCACCTGAGCACACTGACCGTTTGCACCACCCAGGGACTCCCTGGATCAAACCCTCTGGAGCACATAATAGCTCTCATTCTCCTCGTCCCAAGCCCTTTCCAGATGAGATGCCCTGATGTACGTGCAGTATAGCAGGCCACCAGGCAGACAGCAGAGCACCACCGGATTCTTTGAGTGTGGGGATGGGAGGACACCCACTGTGGTTTAATGGGCCCTCCTCTGTGCCCCACCTTTGTGGGCCATGTGGCCACCAACCCCAAGCTACCCCACAGCCTCTTAAGACACTTAGGGGGGTGGGGGTGGCAGGGGGACTGTCTCAGGCTGTCACCTTGCCACGCTAGCTGCGGGCTGGGGTCTCTGGGTTCCCTGCCTTGAATTATTAACGTGGCCACTAGATGGCGCGCCAGCATCGGCGGAGCAGCCAGCGTGGCAGGTGCTGGGAAGCTTACAGCTCACAGCAGCCAGCCCTCCGGTGACCGCATGCTCTGGTTCCTCTGGCCAGGTTCTGAAGACAGCCCTCCCAAGCATTCAGGCAACAACGAAAGCCATTCTTCCAGAAGAAGGAACCGGCACTCCAAGTCGAAAGTCACCAATGGCGTTGGAAAGAAGTGAACACGCCTGGCTCGTCACAGATGCTCCGGAGAGTGCCTGGAACAGAGAGGGGCGCGGAACTGGCGCGGACCTCCCTGCTCGGAGGTCACAACATACCGAGCAAACAGGAAGAGGAGAGGGGACTTGCGGGCAATAGCAGTTGCGGTTTGAGCATGGACATCTTGTTTCCCACAGAGCTGGCCACCCCTGGGCCGGCCCATGAGGGCCCAGGGCCCTGTGCCAGGCTGGCATCTCCTGCAGCGCCAGCACCTGGCATGTGGGCACCGGGCGCCGTAGGGTGTTGGCGAGGGGAAGAGCAGCCCTGCTGGGGCGTGCCGCGGATGGATCACCGACGCCTTCGCTCAGACAAGGCACTGGCTATACCGTCAGGGGACTTGCTGCCCGTTTTCAGTTTTCTGGACCCGCCTTTTCCACTTGCGTGATGTGTTTTGAAGTCCAGGCCCCAATTCTGACCTTCTTTGTTGTTGTTTGTTGTTTAAGTTAGGATGCCTCTACCCCTTCCGAAGCCACTGCGGGATCTGAGAATTGGGGAAGACCACCTTCCCTCTTGGATTAAAAGGAGTGGGTAGGGGGGTTCTGGGCGACCGCTCAGCATCACCCCTCGGCCTCCATTTAAGCACCTTAGGCAACACGGAGACGGGTTCACACCTGTCTGAGGAAAGGCAGCTAGCTGCTCGGGATCCCGTGTGCAAGACTGGCGCCCAGTGCCAGAGTGAGCCCGTGATGGAGTGTGTGACCATGGCGGCCGACCCCACAGCCAGGTGCCTTGTCCATTCAATCCGTTGGCCTCTCACCCGCGCTGCTGGCATTGTCTTCTGGTCCTGTGTGAGGTGTTGGTAAGTATGACCCTGTGCCCGTGCCACGCCTGAGAACATGACCCCGCAGCCGAACACCCCCATGGGTCTCTGTCTGTTTTAAATAAACCAATTCCCACGACAGTCTCTAGACGTGCTCATTTCTCCGTACTTGATGGGGGTTCCCCGCTGCCTATAAGCGGTCTCCATGTGTGTTTTTCAGGAGGCTTTGGAATGGGTATGAATGCGTGTGCCACCGAGGCGGTGGTTCGGACTTACCATAGCCTTCCCTTAGGATAGCAGAGCTGCCCCCAACAAGTCTCTATCTTGACAGAAGCTGACAGCCTCATCTTTCTCCCTTGAGGGGTGGGGGGGTGGCTGGTGGGTTTGAACTACCTACCTTTCAGTTAGCAGCTGAGCATATTGGACCAGAAGGGAAAAATAAAACTCTAGAGGAACCCTGGCGGCATAGCGGTTACGTGTTGGGCTGCTGACCACGCGGAAACCAGGGCTGTCTACGCCCATAAAGAGTTACAGTCTCGGAAACTCACGTGGACAGTTCTACCCTGCCCCCTAGGGCCGCTGTGAGTCGGCATGGCCTCGATCGTACTGAGTTTTCGTGAGAGCGCTTTCAGAGAGCTTCCAGACCCACGTGTCCAGCGCCTCTACCTTCTCGAGTAATTAACAGACAGAAGCAAGAAGGCCACGCATCGTCTGTGACTATGGTGTGACGTCTTTGTCACCCACACAGGGCTTTTCCTAACAAGGGGCCAGTCCCCAGTTGATCACCTCTTAGGTGTGTACCTGGCTCCCTCATTTTGCAGAGCACAAAGGCTTCCAAGTCTTTTTCCCTATTAAGAAAATCTTTCACCTAAGAGATGCCACGCTCCCTCCTGCACAAGAACACAAGGACTAGGGAGCTAAATTAAACATGCGTAGCCCGGTCACAGCCCGCCCAACCTCCAGGCCTTGGCCGCTGCGCCCCACCCCCACCCCCATCGGGCTCTGGGCCAAGGCACAGACCTGCTACAGCAGAGGCACTCACAGTCCGGGGGCACATGACAAGCCCGGGGATGGGCTGAGATGAGGCACATGCTTTACAAACCCACCTGCCCTTTTGGAACCCATCCGTGACCCCTGTTTCAAATGTGCCATGGTGGCCTCGTGTCAGACACAAGACGTGTGCGGCTCTGATTCGGGGGCCCTTCTTTTTAGGCACCTCTGGTTGGACTTGACCCTCCAATCTTTTGGCTAGCAGCCAAGTGCCTTAATCATTTGTACCACCCAGGGACGACTCCTTCAACAGATGTCCACAGCAAACACAGGTTGGTGTTTGTTTGTTTTTTTGCTTTCGAAGGTGCTGGGAGGAGTGGGTGTGTTGTGTCTGCATTTTGCTTCTCGGCACTGTATACACTGCCTCGTGCCGTCTCCCCTGCGGCCTCTCACTGAGTGCTTCCAAGTTCCTGTTCCTGGAGGGTTGCTGCCTGGCACTTGGAATACCTGGTTAATAGCCCAGTCTACCGACGAGGCATGCTTCCTGTCTCCAAGGCCGACATGGAGGAACGCACCTGCTGGGCACGCAGCGACCTTGACTGGACCTCCACCTCAGACCCTACAGAGCACAGTGTCAAGACAGTCACAAAAGCTGTGCTTCCCAGCTGGCCCGGACCCCAGCAGCCCCGGCACCTTGAGCCCATACTGCTGGGCTTTTGCCTGCTTTTCTACCCGTTTCTCTGCAAACGCATTTCAGGTGAGCGAAAAGCAAATACACGCTTCAGGGGCATCGCTGAACAAATCTCTGAAGTGGACTGTTTTGCCAATGACCTGTGTGCCCTTTGCAAGCTGCCTTCCTCCAAGCCACCGCCGCTGAGGGCCTAAGGCACAGTGCGGGTACATCCCCCCTGGAGCAGCGTGGCAGCACGTGCAGTGTACGTTAGCCTTGCTGCCGTCCGCCCTCGCCACGGGTCTGTGTGCCTTCATCTGTGAAAGGCGCAGCCAGGCTGGTCCCGGCAACGCCAGGACGTTGCAGCAACTGCCAAGGCCTCGAGAGATGGTGAAAGACACGAACGCCAGTCTGATTTTCACCAGGGCCGCCTTTCCAGTGGGCTCCCGGGTAAGTCCTCACGCAGGAGACACGAAATAGAAGGCTTTCCCAAGGACACTGCTGCCCTCTTTCAGAAGCTGCAGGGCCTCTACCCAGCAGGCTCGCTGTACCGCTCAGCCTTCGCAACTGGACTCCCAGGTGGGTGTGCTGCTGCTTTATAGCGGTACACTTGCTCAGACCCTTGTGGGGCCACGGAGCCCTTATGAGAGCAGACAGCCTCATTGTCCTCCCAAGGAGCGACAGGTGGGTTTGAACCACTGCTCTTGTGAGCAGCCCCACACTCAATCCACAGCATATGCAGAGGGCTATATATTTCCCGGGCCCACCCTCGTGTTCACCGGGCGGCCTTGGTTTTTCTCATCCTTCCGGTTACAACAGCTGGGCGTCCCACAAGGAGCCATTGCCATCCTCAGCATATTATCCATTCACACGCTTCACGTCCAGCTATCGGGAGAGTTAAGGCTTGCTTGTTTGCTTATGCAATGCAGCTCTTGCCTCTGGGGGCATGTGTGCATGGCGGGCTTAGAGGTGCGACTCAGTCCTTTTGCCAGCTACTAAGCTGGTGGGCTGCCCACCCTGGGTGCTGATCCACGATGAGATTGTTTGGTCAACATTTCCTCCCAGCACGTTTTATTCCAAACCTGAGGCTAGGGCTAGCACGGTGAAGGTTGCAACTTAAAAAACAAAACAAAACAAACCCCTGACATTGCTCCTTGTGAAGCATTAAACAAATAATGCCTGCTCCCCAACCCCCACCACTTTCCTGTCTCATCAGTGAATTAAAGGAACTGCTTATTAATGTTGCTCATAGAAGGGTGGGTAATTTATTTTTCACTTGTGGGAATGCTGAATTAAAAAGATCTACCTTGTTTAATCCATGTAATCCATTTCGGAAAAGGATCTGAGGTTTTGTCTATTCCAACATCATTCTTGCCACGTGTGGTTTTTGAAGTTTCCTCTGAAATGAGAAGATATCTGTGGTCACACTCTGTTCTCACACCCCTCCCTGGTGTTTTGCACTCCATTGCTGTAAGGTTGGAGGTTCAAACCTGCCCAGCAGCTTACAGGAGAAAAATCTGGCAACCTCCTTCCATAGAGGTTACAGCCATGAGAACCCTGTGGGCCAGTTCCACTTGGTCACACAGGGTCGCTGGGGTGAAGTCGAGTTGACAGCACGCCACAACACCACTGTTCAAAGAGTGTGAAAGAGACCCTACACCTCCTGGGGCGCCAGTGGGTCAGTGAAATGCCCTAGCTTGGCTGGGGGAGTCGCTTGGCCTCGACTTCCACAGGCTAAGTGTAGTTTACTGCTTCCTCACTGTCTGGCAAGCTCAGACACCTGGGGACTTCCTGTGTGACAGAGACACATTGCCTGATCCTTGACATCGGGATGATCTGATTGGAAACTGCTCTCTTTACACGTGCTGTATCCATCCGGCAGCTTACCTGACCGACGAGAGAGGTGACTGACAGGCAAGTGTCCTCCCTGTCCAAACACTCAAACTCACAGCCAGCGAGTTCTGAAACATCAGCTCTCTATTCCCCGTGGAGCAGGGGGAAAGGTGTCGGCAGACCCGTTCCTACCTTGTAAGCCCAGCGAAGGCAGGAGCTCTTTTGGGAGATGGAAACGGCTTCAGGGGTCTGATTTCCCAGCTGATGCAAACAGCCACCAGACTCGGGGGCTCCTCCGTGGACCCTTTTGCTCAGAGTGGTAGTGACTTGGTTTCTTCTTAGCTACTGGGATGCCTGCAAGGTCTCAGCCTCACACAAGCAGGAAGGTTCTTTTGAGCAGTTGTTCCCGGGCCTGGGGCCAGGCTCCCTGTGAGGGACATGTTCTTCATTCCTGGATGCCGAGGAAGGGGGTTGGGGGTGGGGCGGCTTATCAAACTGCTGGGAATGAGGTCTAGTTGCCTTTATAGGAAAAAGAAAACCTCGAGCTCATAGAACCAAAATACATTGTCATGTCTAAAGCACACGATAACCTTAAAGGTGGAGTTGAACTGCAGGCAGGGTTTACATAATCCCTCCAGAAAACCTGGACTGCAATCTTAACTGTACCCACCTCGCTGACAAAGGGCTGCTGGGCTCATTCTCGGTGAGCAGAATGCCCCCTCTGGTGGCGTGCAAGCTGGGGAAGGCTGAAGAATGCTCTGGCTTTCAAAGTACTTACCGTTCTCTGTCTCGCTGTTGCTGCTGGGTGCCACAGAAGCAATTTCTCCTAGCGACCTCATGGGACAGAGTGGAATTCTGTTTTCTACACGAATGGAGCGCCAGGTCTTCCTTGGAGCCGGTCTGGTGTGTTCAAACCTACCGTTGCTCTCCCATCTCCTCGGAGTGGATGAAGTCCAGGCCCAGAGGAGCACACGTGTCCCAGCTGCTCACAGGTCTTCCAGAAGGCAGGCACCCTTCAAAATGCTGCTCGCAGACCCCCCTCTCTCTTGTCCTGGACAGCTCCTCCTTGAGTCCTAGCCGTGTAGCCAGCAACACACTATATAAGGGGATTCCCCCTCAAAAAGCTGAATTTTTTCCCCCAAAGCTACGTTATTTGTTTTTTAACAAAACAGCCTTATCACTTTCAAGATACTCTCCATGACATGTAGCACATTTGTGAAATCTGCGATTCCATTCTTGGAAACATTTTTCAAACCCATCTGTTTGGATGGCTGACAATACCTTCCTCGTTTTTCTTTACCCTCTTCTACTTCAAATCACTGCCCTTTCATGTCCCTCTTCATTTGTGGAAACAAAAAGAAGTCGCACGGAGTGAGGTCGGGTGAGAAAGATGCACGGGGTAAGAGAAGCATGCTGTTTTTTGTGCAAAACTGGAGAGCTGAGATAGCTATGTAAGCAGGTTATTGTCTTGGCAAACCAGTCCCTTCCGCCACAAATCAGGCCTTTTTTATTACACACTGTTACAGGCTTTTCAGAATCTCTAAATCGAAAGCTGTATTAATAGTCTGACCTGGTGGAACAAACTCCAAATGCACTACAAGTTGCTGTTTCATCCATTTGGGAAGTTGACGGGCATCCAGAACAAGAT